GCCAAATGGAAGAAGATCAACCAACTGGCTAGTTCAGCTTGTTAATGAGTGATGAATTACATTATGCACAAATGTAGCCCCGAGTAATAAATGTGGCGGTCGGCGAGGTCTGATCACCTGCTTGTCACAGACGTCACAGATCAACAGTTTGTCTGAAGGTTCTTAAACCTTTAAAAAACCATCAGGACAGCTTGAAGAAGGTTAGGAACCGTCCCGACTCTTCAACATCACTCCTGCATCTCTGAAAGGCTATTTAAGGAAACAAACACTATGGTAGTACACGAGCCTCACAAGTCTGATGGTTTGTGGCAAATTTGCACATTTTTATGAAGTTGATCCACTTTTAGTGAAGTCGGGGGTCCTGGTTACTCTGTAACACTGTGGCGCTGCTGCGTGGGACCAAGTTGTGTTCGATTAGATTAGCATGGCAGTATTTCAGTCCAACCTCCTCAAAGTTTGACACCCGGCAAGTTTCAGGGGGAAAGTTTTTAAAAGCTCGATCAGTTAGCCAACTAATCTTCTGAGTAACTGGTAGAAGAAAACGTTAAATAATCAACTGTAAACGTTAAGATTTCTGATGTGTCTGTGCGTTTCCACTGCTGCAGCTCACAGCAGGCGTGATCGTTTTGCAGTAGTTTCAACTCTAAACACAGAAACCCTCAAAGAAGATGCTGCTGTCAGCAAAAATGGAAGTTTCTGCATTTAATGTTAAACATCTCCATAAATGATGTTTAAGGAGAGAAGTTTGTCTGTGATGTTCTTAGTGTGAGCAGGAAGTGCTCAGCCTGCTCCTGGAGGCTTTCTGCTCAGAAGTAGCCGTACGTACTGCTGTGGGCCTGGCTTCAGTAACTGGGGAAATATTTCTGTGAAGGAAACCTTGGCGTGCACATATAACACGCCTTCCTTCAGTGAGTCCAACTGTTGGAACAACTGAGTGTTTTGGTTTTTCTCTACTGTAGAGAGAAGTGGACCAGTGGAAAACCCGGGTCAGAGGTCAAACACAGGATCTGCAGGCAGGCGTGTTTGTTCCTGTGCTACGAAACAGTGGAGGGTAATAAATCATCTTATCGGTGAAATTTAAGAGAACGTTTTGGACAATGTTGGTCGTTCTAACGAACTCAGACGTCAGAAACTGTAAATGCGAGCGTGTAAAAAGTTGCTGACCTGTTACTTGCCGGGCTCAGTATCACAGGCACTAATGGTAAAGAAATGAAATAAAGCTGAGAGTTGACTTTAAGCTTAGATCAACACTAAGGTGACGGAAATGTTTAGATTGAAAACCTCATTTTTTTAAATTGACATCTTTGTGTCAAAATGCTACTTGACTGATGTGTTTTGTTGTATTGCTTCCTTCTGATGCTGCCGGGCTGGGACTCAGCCCGTCTGTGGACTGAAAAAGTGAATGAAACAACACTGCAGTTCCCTCGACTTACAGACAGGAGAGTAGAAAAGAAACAGTCCAAAGCGGGTCCTGAAGGAAACATCTGGAGCTACACTCTCTCTGCGGCTAGCTGCTAAGTTAAGGTACAGTGAGCACAGTTCAGTCTGTCAGTGCTGCTGGTGAGTGGCTGGGCAGACAGGAAGTGGCCGTTACTCCATGATGGCTCTGTAGATCACAGGCTCGATGTAGTCCCCCCTGTAACGGGAGTTGATTACTCGCTGTCTCTTTGACTCCTGAATGATTTCCTTCTCCTCGAAGATCCCGTCGAACCTCATGTCCGATGCTTTCGACTGTAAAGAGATGGTACGTCACTGAAAGCTTCTTTATTTGAACTGAAAGGAAAACTGAATGGGACAGACGGGAGAACGTACCAGTCTGGTTTTAACTCTCTTGGGGAGTTCTTCATCCAGACTGTAGACGTCGTCTCTCTTGGCTGTTAGTTGTGATCCGTCCTCAAATTCCACCTGCAGTCCAGAAACATTGAGTCAGGACACAAACAGATGA